CCTTGCAGACTTTGACGAAATTGCTAAAAGTGAAAAAGTAGCGAAAGGAATAAGGTATACATAAGTAAACTAGATTTGCATCGTTTCAAGTCAATTGCTTTTATACTGCAAAAATGTCATATACAAAAGGGATACTTTCGCAGCCTTTAACAATTTTTCCTATCTCCTTTAAGATATAGACTTCCGAGCGGCAAGCGCTTTTACCCTAATCAAGATATGCGTAAATAAATAAGAATTGGAAAATTTTATGTTAGTAGCTTACACACTGCGCGAAATATTCTGATAATCATCAAATTTGGAACGATTTCACCCTATTGTTCCTATGGGAGCTATAGGATATAGACGTCCGATCAGCACGCGCTTTTACCTTGATGAAGGAATGCATAAAAAAATACGATTTGAAAAAATGTACAGCAATAGCTTTTACACATCGCGAAATATTCTGAAAAACATCAAATTTGGACCGATTTTACCCTATTGTTCCTATGGGAGCTATAGGATATAGACGTCCGATCGTCACGCGCTTTTACCCTGATCAAGGTACGCATAAAAAAATAAGATTTGGAAAGATTTATGTCAATAGCTTTTACACTGCGCGAAATATCCTAAAAATCATTAAATTTTAACCGATTTTACCCTATTGTTCCTATGGGAGCTATAGGATATAGACGTCCGATCGTCACGCGCTTTTACCCTGATCAAGGTATGCATAAAAAAATATGATTTGTAAAGATTAATGTCAATAGCTTTTACACTGCTCGAAATATCATAAATTCTTGCAAGATATATCCAATTGTTCCTATGGGAGCTATAGGATATAGACGTCCGATCGGGGCGATTTTCAAACTTGATCTGCGTACACATGTTTTAGGACGATTGTGAAAGTTTCAGATCGCTAGCTTTTAAACTGAGCTCGCAAACGGTATTGAAACAGACGGACAGACGGACAGACGGACAGACGGACATGGCTATATCGACTCCCCTATTGATCCTGATCAAGAATATATATACTTTATGGGGTCGGAAACGTCTCCTTCACTGCGTTACAAACTTCTGACCAAAATTATAATACCCTCTGCAAGGGTATAAAAAATATATATATATATAAACCGAACTGGTTTTTGCTGTTGTTGTCGGCCAAAGCCAAAACGAATTTTGAATGTGGGTGAAGTTGTTAAAAATGTGGCAAACGCAATCGAGGTTAGCTAGAGCTATGGCTATACCGAGAACCCCTCCCCCCTTCCCCTTCCCCTACCCCTCCCCCTCGGCCCTCCCACAATGATCTGTGCCTACTTGGCGCATATTTAGTTATAAACTTGAATTTAGACTCTGGCCAAATTAGAGCCGATCTATGTGCGAGCTCTCGTCTTGCCACCAAAGTGAGAGCGAGACTGACAAAATACAGCACTACGGCTAGTTGCAAAAAAGCAGATACAGATACAGATACATATGGATTTACAGATGGAGATACAGATACACAAATAGAAACAGAAACAGAAACAGAAAACAGAGTCCGACTCAGAACAAGCCACAAATGTCGAGATCTGTTTGTCGCGCTTGTCCAATTTGTTCGATTTGGTGTGTTTCCTGTTTCGAATTGCCAAAATCCAAACAGAGAGACACGAGAAAAGCATTACGGCTTTTCTGTTTGCCAACGATGAGAAATGAGTTCTCCATTAGCAAAACTCCAGGGTAATCTAAGGTGATCCTCATATATTTGAAGACCTATTACCAACTCAACTAAAGCAATGTTTAAAGCTCTTGCTTTAATTTCATAACAACTGACTCAATGAGAAAATCATATTAAATAGTTCTAGGCATAAAATTGCACATGTTATTTATGCTATTAAGGTCCGAGCCATATGTTTAAGTACAAATAATACAATTAAAAATGTATCTGTTAGAAATATCATTGGTTCCTTAAGGATCTCGTAGCTTTTTTATTTTTTAAATCATTCTCGAGGATATCCGGCTTGATCTTTTTTTAATTATTTTAATTCAGTTTACAGTGGAAGTGGTTGTCCCCCAAAATTGAGTGGTGGCCATTGAGAAATCTCTCCTCGATTGGCTCACGATCGGCGGACTTCCGTTTTGGCAGCGATCCTTATCGCCATTTGGCACTGAATGAGTCACCCGGCGGTTACCACATTGGCCAGTTCGTTTTCTCCAATGGATCACGGATCACGAAAGCCCCTTTAACGTACACAGAGATCATCACGGACGAATTATGGTGCGTGCTGGGGGATAGAAATGGGGAAGGGGGTGGGGATTGGGGATTGGGGATTGAGGATTGGGGACTGGGGTTTCGAGGGGATCTCAGCGCTACGCGGATCGTGCAAATTGCCTGGCCATGCCGGTCTATTTGGCTATTTGTCCACTTTCGGTGGGGGCAGCCTTTGTTGTTGTTGTTGTTGTGTGTGTAAATACGGAACATATGTAAATATTAATTTTATTAAGCAAACGTGACTGCAAGATCTCGGACCGACTTGGGCATTTGGCTTATTGAAGTTATAAGGCTTTTGGACTTGGCACATTGACGTCGCTGACACGACACACGTATCGCGCTGTGTTTGCTGTGCGGCTTTTCATATTTGGCTTTTCAATTCACAATATTTGTGATGGCATAAGTAGTGTATTTCTTTTGTTTCGGTTTGCTTTTATTAGGTTTCTTTTTTTTTTTGCACTGACAAAAGAAGTTGACATCCATCCTGTGCGTGGAAACCGCCCAACTAAGGGGAGGGGGAGGGGGTATTGGATAGTGGGTGGATGTTGCTCTTGGCGGCCTTGTCTTTGAAGTGCAAGTCCGCCGGATACAAATCAAGTGGATGGCATACGTGAGTGCTTATCGTTATCTTTCGGGTCAGTAAAAGCTCATAACGAATTACCAGATCAGGAAAAGATGAATAAATAGTAATATCTGTACAAAGAATACATTTAAATAGCGCAATAACCCGAAATTAAGAGCCACGTTTTAAATAAATCTCTTCTAAGGATCATAAATTCTATAGATCATCAATGTGAAAACATTTTGTATTCATAAATATAAAATATAATGTCAAAGATCTCTGATTCATTCTATCATAGCGATTGCCTAATTTAGACTTAGATTAAGAAATAAATAAAGCTAAGTCAAAACGGGCCTCTAATTGCTATATAACCATACATATCCCGGTTTCCAATATTTAGAAACATTTTTTGCAATCTAAAATTACCGTGATGATTCAGCGAAATCGATCGATTGTTGTATTGATAGCTTTTATTTGGCCACCATCCCACCAACTTCGCCCCCTCATCGCTGACCTTTGTGGTTCTAAATTTGGAAACTGCAGTTACGATCGTGAGTGATTTCAGCGACTTTTGTACTGGTCACGCTTTTCTGCGATCCCTAGAAATGGTCATTTGCAGTTGGGAAAACTCAACTGGAGGCTGCCACTCCCCACACCCCTCGAAAGATTTCAAATTAGTCAGCGACACTCCATAAATCAGGCACACTCATAGTACCCAAGGAAAACAATCGAGTGTTCCAGGTCCCCCGGGTTCCATGTCCCCATGTGCCCATGTCCACATGTCCAGTTCCACTTGGGACAGCTGCCAATGTCTTGGGGTCCAAGCGATTAGCATACAATTTGTGGCGGTGGTGGGGGGGGCTAACACTCGCGGCCATAAATAATAATCGCTCGGGGTCTTTGGCTTGCAGTCTACGGGAGTTCGGAGTTAAAAGAGTTAAGAGTTAGGAGTTTGGGCTGCCAGTTGGTTCCCGTCTGGCAGTTGTCGGTACAAATTGCACCGTTAATAAAGTCAAAATCGGATTAGACACGGCCCGCCGCCCCCTTTTTTACAATATATATATCCATATATATATGTGCAGTTTTTTTTTTGAACAAAACTCAGCTGTGGGCCAAGCCACCTGTGATATCTGTCGGTGATATAGCCGCGATATGTACAACCCCTTCACACCCCAATCAGGCAAACGGACAACGGCCCACCCGATCGATTGGCCAGATATTTGATCTGGGCTGAGACTGAAATCAAATGGCCAACACAATAAATTCACCTCTAATGAATTTTGATTCATTTCCATTTGCTTTTGGCGCAAACAACTAAATAACTCCGGCAATCAATGGGCGAGGGGACGGGCAGGGGGACGGGATATAGATAATATTGACCCATATATGTCAGAGTCGGACGGTAGGCGAACCGGCAAATCGGAGACAGAAGCCAAATGATTCCATTCGATTCGATTCGATTCGATTCGAGATCGAGCTGTATTTTTCCAATTTACGAAACTAATATCGATGGAAAACGATCTGTAGCATAAATCAGATTTCGCTCCCTAATTGTTGGAATACTTTTTCAATGGCTGGCAATAAATCTACTTAATTTTGGAATAAACAAGACGTTAAATTTAAATTTTTTTTTTTTTATATATACAAATGGTAAGCGATTGTACATATTTGTTTTTATATTTTTAATAACCTTTTTCTGTAGCAAAGATGAACGATAAAATAATTTTTATCAGTTTTAAACAAGTAAAATATATTTTAAGCAAATTTTTAAGAAAAAACAATCTCGAACTGAAATGATCCCTAGCTTTTATAAGACCCAGTTTTAATGACAACTTATCTTACAAATTCTCGTATATTCCCATTTTGTAATTTGATGTCCTGTTTAGCTACATCTTTTTTGTGGAACTGTTTTTGGTTGTCATGAGATGGATATGTAAATGTTATACTAAAAATGTCGTGACAGATTTAAGCTAAGGCTAAATACCTTTGTTGAATATTGATGGGCTGTTATGCATTTTTTTCCTGTTCTCAATTCCATAACGTCACGTCTTTTTTGCTCTGGATGCACAACTTTCTTCGGGGACGTGCATTCGCTGCCCTTCAAACCCCCACCCCCCCTCCCCCCATTTTTCAATCCCTACCGAACACTCCACTTGCTATGCATTGGCCAAGGCAATCGATAAACATTTATTGGGTTAACCTAGTATTTATACAAGATGGTGGGGGTTGCATTTCATCAAAATGTTTGCTTCTGGTTTGGGTTTTCGTTTTTCGTTAAATGTTACCTAGCTGGCGGTTTCGATTGCGATGGCTTTGACGTTGACGTTAAAGTAACGGTTGCGATTGGTAACCCGGTCTGATCCTGTCTCAGCCATCTTGATCAGGAGCGGATCAACCCGTTGCTTGGACCGCTCCAGCAGTTCTATCATAGCCTCGGCCAGTTTGCAGTTGGTATGGGTGAAGAAACTGATGGCCTCGCAATCGGTGGAGCCCGAAAGCCATCCCGTTCCGGTCAGACGCTGGACATACTCCTCCATGGACGGGGGCAAGTCGTAGTTGAACAGGTAAATGATGCCCGAGATGTCCAGCTCCCGTGAGATTGAGTTCTCGGCCACGATGATGTTGTAGGTGCCGTCGCGGAAATCGCGGACCAAGTCAGCCCGTTTTGCGGCACTGTGTCCACTGTGGATGCCACCGCAGGGCACATGGTTCCGGACGTAGCCCACCAGTTCGTCCACGCGCTTGCTGGTATCCGCATAGATCACCACCTTGCCGGGATTCTCACACGTATCGTAAATGGCAGCCAGCTCCTTTTGGATGTGTTGCTTTTTGTTGCGCGACTTCATCACCTCCACCCGCTGGCGTATGTCCGGGATTCCACCTGGCTGATTGCCGCATCCGCCGGATGGCATTTGGATCAGTACGTAATCACGCATGTATTTGCGGGCCATCCTCTCCAGACTGCGCGACCACGTGGCTGCGGAGATGACCAACTGGGCATGGGGACGCATGGTCCCCAACAGCTGGCACATATTCTCCTCCATGTCCATGTCAATCATCCGGTCGGGCCCGTCCAGCACCAGATAAGAGCAGCGATCCAGGTGGAGCGCCTGCCCACTCCCGTTCAGGATGTCCTTGATGCGACAGGGTGTGGTCACCAGGAATTGGCAGCCTTCCGAGGTGATGTCGTATTTGCAGCTCAACTGGCCCAGGATGCACTGGCTCGCGAGCTTTCGGGGACGACTGTAGTCCTGTGCCTCATTGTGGATCCTTGTGGCCACATCGCGGCAGTGCGTCAGCACCACGACAAGGGGTCGTCGCCTCAGCTGGATGTGCATTAGGGCGGGGAGCAGATATGCCAATGTCCTGCCCGTGCCCCCACTGGAAACCATGGCAAAGTTCCTGCCCGCCAGGGCCACCGGCCAGGCCTGCGTCTGGATGGGAGTGGGTGCGTCGTAGCCCTGCTGCTTCAGTCGCTGGATTATGTTCCGGTCGAATCCGGTGCGGCGGAAACTCATCACGGGCTGCGGAATGGGTCGCGGATCCATGCTGGCCAATGTGATTTTGTGGCGACGGCGGTAGACCTCCGCTTTATTCTGCTCCAGATCCTTCCGCTTGCCAGGACTGCGATCACGACGGGGACTGGGACTCCTGGGCGAGTCTCGATTCTTCCAGGGATTTTTTTTGTGGGGACTGCTCAACCTGGGCATCGATTGCCTGGACCGCCTTGGGCTGCGCGAGGATCTCCAAGGATTATTGCTGCGATTGGCAGTGCGCCGGCGTTTCGGACTTCTGGACAACGAACGCCTCTTAAAGTGACTTTTGGAGGGCGCAACGGTCCTGCACCTCGATTCCCTCTTCCGTTGCCTCCAGGGATTGGACACCCGATGGGGACTGCGGCTTCTGGTCGGGGAACGCCTATTCCAGCCACTGCCATTGGGATTGGGATTGTTGGTCCTGAAAGGATTGGTTGAGCGGCAAGGCTTGAAAACGCGTTCCACGGCGCTTCTGAGTCCTGGCACTTTTTTATTCCCCTCCGAATGTTGGGAACTGGCTTGAGATTCACTGCTGCTCCGACTTCTGAACCCGAATTTCTGGACATTAGTTTTGGCAGAGTAACTATTGTTCTTGCTTTTGGACTTGGTCTTCTGGATCGCAGTTCCTGAATTCGGGCCAGAGGAAGTGCTCGAAGAAGAGGACGAGGAAGAGCGGGAACTCGAGATGGATGACTTTGAAAACCTGGACCGTTGGTGCTTCTCATCCCTCTTATCCTTCGGATTGGATGCTTCGCCAGCTGTCTTCTTCGGAGGAAGGCGAACAGCCACACCATCCTTCCTTTTCGACTTAGAAACTTCGTTTTTCATTTCCTTCTTCAGTTTTTTTCCTGTCTTACCCATTTTCTTCTGCTTTCTTGTTAAGTTCAGCTAGCGTTTTGTAATGATTTTACGACCTCTAGCTAATAAGTTACAATTTTCGTTTGTCAAGCAAAGCGAAATGTCAAATGCAGTCAGTTAAAGGCTTCTGTGTTGGCTAGACTTTTTGTTTCTTTAGTGTTGAAGTAAAATATTTATAGAGTTGTAATCGTTTTAGAATTGAACGTGATAATCGCATATGAAATTGAGCTTAATCGTATACAATACCATTTTAACAAATGCAAAAGATATCCCAATCCCGCATTAGTTTTTTTATTGGCATGTAAATGCTTATATGTCTTCAGTTATTTAGTTATTGTAAATAAGTAAAATATTGGTACAGATGTAATAATGTTTGGATTGAATGTGGCAATAGTATTTTAAACAAGAAAGGAAGCAAACTTCGGCAAGGCGAAGTTGATATACCCTTTCATTATAATGTCTATGCCAATATTATGAAGCCATGTCGACTAATTTGTTAGCAACAAACCTAAATTGAATAATATTTAACAATTTATTAACTCTAAATTGTCAAATTTCTTGTTTATTTAAATAAAAACGTAGTGCCCTAAGTAAAAATGCAAAAATGTAGGTTTATATAAAACTTAATAATAATCATGATTTTGAATTTATTTATTTACAAACTTAAAGGTATTTACGTAAAGTATTTAAATAAAACTTGTATAGTAATTTATTATAAAGAAATATTATTATCATTTGCATATTTGTTGAAAAGATCAGGTTTTTATAACATCTTTTTATGGTGAACTGAGACTAAATTCCCACTGCTGATAACGTGCATGAATTGACGGTGACTTGTTTAAAAACCCCGAAGGTCATCAATATATTTGTTTCATTATCGGTCTATATTATAATAAATTGGTCTATATTTCGGAACATCATGATAATCTAAAAGTAGACATACGTGTTCTAAGCTTAAAGCCCATTTAAGCTTACAATTCAAGACTTTTCAAAGAAGAGGTATGAGTCCACATCACACGCTGTTACCACTTTTTGTTGGCACATTGGGATAGTGATTCTCTTCTGAGACACAAACATATTTATAATTTTATTGTTTTGAAAAAAAGCTCTAGTAAGAATGATTATCTGGGGGCAGTATGAGCATATTTATGCCGCCGTCGTATGTCCGAAATCAGTAGCAAATCGACTCTGAAATAATCAACACGCAATCACAGTTCAAAGCAAAAATGAAAATAGTGTGGATACTGGCGGTATTATTTTACCTTTTAATGAAAGTTAATTCAGCACCCAATGATGAATGGCACACTGAATGCCGAAAAAGAGATCATAAAGGCAACTGTTTAGATAAATTAATCTCCTAGGACCTGAATGGCACACAAAAGAATACAAATAAGCTGCTGAAAAATAGCTCAGTAATTCTGTTTTTAATATTTCAGATGCAGATTCATTTGAACATTAACATCCTGTGCAATTCAACATTACCCTTCGTTGTTATAGAATATTATCGAAAATTTTACAATTTATAAACCTTTTTGTATACTTGACGATTCTGCAAATAAAACTTAGCTGACCTTTGATTTTATTCAACATTTCCAGTTCATTATTTATCCGGTTCGTCCATAATTTTAGACCATTAATCTTCAATGTGTTTCAATTCGCGAGTGAAGACTGTCCCAGTTCCGGAGACCCAGAGATTTGGAGATACGGGTTCGGATTTCGCTGCCGGAAGTGGAGAGCTCTCCACTCACCACTCTCCACTCTCTCTCTCAGTCCAAAGACCCAAAGGAGAGCACTATCTGACCCCCTTTGGGTTATCTACGAATAATTGCGACTGTGTGAGTGTCCGAATGTTTGGTCAATTAAAAGCATTCGCTGGCTTTTTATCAAATTCAATTAGCCGACGACGAAAGCCAAACAAAGTGCCCAAAATGAAAACAAGAAACGGAAGACACTCGGCAACAAAGTTGCTTAATGGAGAATACAGAGGGGGTGTACCATAACATCCAAAAATATAGGAAATAACTAAAAAAAAAAAAAAAACGACTAGTGAAAAACATGCATGCATAAGCGCGGAGTTCTAACTATAGAAAATCCGTATAATTAACTAGATAAATTGGCAAGCAATTGGCTGTACAGATCGTTAAGACAATTCGCTAATGATCGTCGTACAGCTAACGATCTCCTTTGGCTAATTGGCCCCCAGTACGTACGCCCCCCCCTTCCCCTTCCCCCTGCTTGTGGACCACCCTTCGTTTAAAGTGGCCATCAAGTCGTAATTACGATCGTCGTTGGAACGATAAAGACATCAAATCGCACTGCATCGCACTAGAACTGCTGGCCATTCAACGAGATTTGTATTTCGCTTTAAGATCTCGGTCTCTATCCCGGAGTTTCAATTAAAGTTCCATTAACGCTTCGCGACACACACAATTATCAAAAATTATATTTATGCTTATGACATTTCCGGCAGCCTCAGGTCCCCCTTCCCCTTGGCTGGTGCACCTCCCCCACCGCCGGTGTCTGAGTCATTTCATTTATTTCGAGACAGCGCAGACAGAAGATCAAAGCAACTTCATGATTATGCTGCACGCATATCCATCACCATATCGAGCACTCGCCTCGGGGTGGAGTTGCTTTGGTAGTCCATTGGGGAATAGAGGGGGGCAATAGCCAAGATCCAAGATCCCAGATCCCAGATCCCAGATCCCCCAGATCCCCGATCCCGGAGAGATCCGAGGTGAGGTGTGCGCAGGTGAGGCTGTGACTGTGGATCGCTGTGTGTGGCTACAGTGGTTTGGGGAGTGGATAGTCGGCACTTACCGCATAAAAAACAGCGTTACCTTTAGCACTTATCCAGTAACCAAGCCCACAAATATAACAGATGAATGATAACTTCATATTAAAGGCTTTAATTGATAGGAACAAAATAGTAAACATATGTACATACTTTGTAAGTACTTCTTTACTGTGGAAAATAATTATGCAAAATAATAAATCTTATTTAACCTTTACCTTCAATCTCATAATAATTATTTATATGTTTTTAATTTGTAAGAAAGGTTGTACAAATATATTTGACTAAAGTTTGATTACAGAAATTTAATCAAAATTACAACATAATTTTGTACAAATAAATCACTAATTTCTGAGTAAATAAAAAATACAAAATTGCTCTAAATATAATTAATTTCTTTGGAATATTATTTCATACATATTTTTATTGAAAATGCTAGTTAAATAGTTAACAAACCAATGGTTAGTGATTGTCATTGCCCAACACTAATTTTATGATTTTTATGCCACAACTTTAATGTTCTGCGGATTCTTGGCTATGTTCCTGCCAAATAACAAAAACTAAGAGATCGGCGCAGCAGGAGGGACCACCAAAGGGGGCAAGGCGATCTCGCTGCCGATACGGGTCCACCAAACAGAAACAAACAAGAAGGGGTTTGGGGGGAAAAACACAACTGCAACTGCAACAGCAACTGCAACAGCGGGGCAACAACACAAGTACAAGTACAAGCAAAGACAAATTGTCTGCGGGTTGAGGTCTTGCTATTGGCCTCCAGCGTGACGATGTCGGGTGCTACTGGCGCCACTCAGCGCCAAAAGACGGCGGAGGGGGAGGGGGAGGGGGCAGGGGCTGAGGCTGTGGCATGTGCCACCCAAACCAAACCAAACCAAACCAAGCCAAACCGAAACTGAAAGAGTGAAAAACAGAAAACAGAAAGACAGAAAACCAAAAGCCAAACCAAGCGAATAGAATTACGGATCAAAGAAATAAGACCATACAGCATAGCAAATTATGTAACAAGCCTGTATGTATTTTCATAGGTACAACATACAGGTAAGAACAATTTATTGGGGATAAATGGGATCCGTCAGATGTTCCTCCTGTGCAAGTAGCATATTCAGAACTTCATTTCTGCCCGTGGATGGCACATTATCGCATGCATAGCGGATGCGATCTAGCTTTTTCTTAAAACATGCCACATCCTGGCGACATCCTTCCAACTGGTCCTGGGCATCGAGTATTTTCTCGCAGATCTGCGAGATCCTCATCTGAACGGCGTCCTTTTTGGGACGACTGTACTCCAGTTCGGAGCTTGAAGTGAACAGAGTGGAGGATGATCCCCCCACACTCGATTCCTGATTAATTGGCGCCTCTGCCTGCTTGATCTTGAGCTGCAAGTCCTCTATTTTCCTTTTCATTCTGCGCTCAGTTCGGCGGTCACTCTTTGTCGAGGAATTGATAATCCTTTTCTGGAATAGTGTTTCCCCAAATAGTTTCTTAAACTGCTTAAAAACGATATAATCAACGTTACGGAAAAGTTCTTCGTAGACCTCTCGGTATTTATCCCAATAAATGAACAACAAAATATTGCCAGAGATGGCAGTCCAGGACCAAGCGATAAGATTAGATGGGACACTTTTGTCACTTTCCGATCTTAAAAACTCTTTATCCGATTCCACATTTTTCCATTCATGTTTCTTACCATACGCTTGCAACTCAATCTTGCAAGGAGTTTTGCATAATTGCAGATCGATCATTTCCAATAGATTTTTAATACATTTAGAGTGGTCTTTGCGGAAAGTGGATTCATTGGAACTACTAGATGAATTCATATCTGGCACATCATGAGAGTATTCTTTGCCCAATTCAAGACGTGGTTTGAATTCTGGTTTTGGAACCGAAGTATAGTTCGTCGACTCTGGCAATTCAAAGCGACCATTACGCATTGCAAAAAGGGGATGAGAATCTGTAAACTTACTTTTCTGATAATTCCGTCTTATCGATGGTTTGGTTTTGCGGCCACCAACAACTACTTTTAAGGACAAGTTGTTTGATAACCGAGCTCTTTTTGGTAGTATAATTTTAATATGATCCATTTCACTCGGCCGTTTTCTCTTAAGTTCCTTAGCTGACTTGCTATTCTCTGCAAATAAGGGCTCACTAGATTCTTGAGGTGTTTGCACCAAAACGTCTCTGGTTTTTGGCGAGACATAGGCATCCTTACATAACGAAGGCTCTTTCGTGATCTTTTCCCAGGTTTTTTCATAACCCAATGGCGGGGTTATTGGACGAATATCATCTAGATCAAATGGCTCGTCATCCGGAAGTGGAGTGTTCTTGGCCATCCGATACACGTGATCAAACATATTGCGTGCCAAAGGGCGTATTTTCTTTTGTTCCTTGACCAATATAATTTGCAACGGGTGACACCGATCTTGATAGAATTGCTCTGTTTTATTTGAGTTGGATGTGGTTGGATGTGGTTCCATTTCTGATGTGAAATCTGAAGAGTCCCCGATCTCACTGTCGCTTGGATTCACTGGCCTAGAATTGGGTTTATCTTTGTATGGAATAGCCTCGAATAACGATAAGTAATTCCTTTCATTTTGCACCTTGATAAGTTCAATTTGATTCATCTGACTGACCTGATCAAGCAAATTATATATTAAACTGCCCTCCGTTAATTTTGTTTCCAGGGAAAGCGACTTATCTGGATAGGATTTTTCGTCTTCCATAGAGTGGGTTAGCTTCAGAGGTGGCAAATCTGTAGTATCATTGTTTGGTTTTTCCTTTAGATCAACTTGCATGACATCAGTTTCATCCATTAATGGGAGAGCCTCGGTTGGCTTCGGTGAATGTATATCCACTTCTTCTTCTATTAAGCGACTGTACAATTGGGTCATATCCATTTCGGTTTCTTGGGTTTCTGCAGCACCGTCGCAAAAATCTAATAGATTCAGATTTTGTTCTATACTAAGGAGTAAAAGATCGATTTTTTCCATTTCATTATCAACCAGACTTGGTTTCTGCTCCAATGGTTCGATTTCTTGACCAATAGGATCCTCCTGTTTCTCAGGCAATTCAACTGGCTCCTCTACTTCCTTAGAACCTTCTAAGGTGATTTCCTTTTGGTCTTCATCAAGCAAAGGAGAGTCTTCTGCGATAATCGAATTTTCTTCTTGCTCATTAACTGGTTGTCCACACTCCTTTCTATCACAAGTAGATGCCTCGGAATCTGAATCGGAACTGCTGTGCCGCACCAAAGGCCTTTCTGCGCTTATAGCCTTACCAAATCGCCATTCAGTTTTGCCACCAATCTCAACACAATACCATTTACATTCTGTAGGCGAATCTAAGCTCTCCAGATTCTCATCGCACGATTCTTCATCACTGCACTCCTTTATTAAGTCCAGTTCTAGTTCCTTCTCGTCTGGCTTGTCCTCTATCCCTGGTAAACTATCCATCTTGCTCTCTTCAGATTCGCTTTGTTCCTGGAAGGATTCATTATCTGGAGTGACCAATCCGCTTTCGCATTGGGACGCTAAAATAACCTGGATGGGTTTATCATATGTCATGTTAAGTTCGCCCAATTCGCTTGATTTTGGAATAGGTTCATCATCTGTCATGTTAAGTTCATCCAATTCGCTTGATTTTGGAATAAGTTCATCATCTGTCATGTTAAGTTCATCCAATTCGCTTGATTTTGGAATAGGTTCATCATCTGATGTGTTCATTTCTTCCGATTCGCTTGGGTTTTGGATGGGCTCATCACCTACTTTATCTTCGCCTAATTCACTTGATTTCTGTATGAGGTTTTCATCTGATATGTAAAGATCCCCCAATTCAATTGGTTGCTGAAAAGGCTTATCATCTAGTATGTCATGTTCGACCAATTCGCTGGACTTCTGGATGGGTTCATCCCCTACACTGTTCTGTTCGCCTAAGTCGCTTGTTTCCTGGATGGGTTCATCATCTGCAATATTATGTTTGTCCAATTCGCTTGTTGCCTGGATTAGTTCACCTTCTTGAGCGGCTTGACCGATCAATTCGCCTTCAGATTCAGCTAGCATCTTTGAGTCCTTTGCGATTAATTTTCTTTTATACTGCATTTGGCGAAGTGATTTTTCAAAACTATTAGGGCGAAAAGATGCTGATCGAATTCGAGGGAGAGGACGGCGAGTCGGCTGCTTCGGCTGCTTCCTCTGGAGAGTATTGGATTCTCCGCTGCCTTTTTCAAATATAAGTACTATCTGCTTGGCTATTTTAAGGATAAGAGATGGGTTCAAAGGATCACTGGAAACTTCTGCATTTGACTGGGCACTCTCAGTCATGTTATTAACAATATCCCTGGAGGAACAAGGAGCTTCATCTGCAGCGTTTTCTGTCACATTCTGGGATGGAATTGGAGTGGTAACTGCAGGGACAGCAGGGGCGGCAGGGGGAGGAGGGTCAGCAGCGACAGGGGGTACAGTAGGGGGTGGAGGGTTTCTTGGCGCCACCACTGCCACATTTGGTTCCATCTCCGCGGTCTCTTCCTCCCGCTCATTCTCCTTACTAATACGCAACTGTTCATCTAGCATCAATTTTTCATTGAAGTCGTAGAAGGCCTTGAACCACTGGGCGAACTCCAGATTCTCGCGATAGCCCCGCTTTGCCAGGCGGTCGAGCTCCATCTTCTTATTCACACCCGCATCCAAGAGGGCATTCCTAATCAATGTCATGTTATCCATGCCGTAGGTACGACTCTTCTTATAGATCGTGACCTTCTTTAAATTGATGCACGAAGGTCGCAGCTTGTGGAGCAGCATGCAGTATTCGGCCCCATTTCCCAGGTCCTCCAGGCACTTTACGTTTTTCTTGAGGGTCGAGTTCACCCACTGCAGAAGTTCCATCCGCGAATAACTGCATGCATTTTTGCCCGAACGCGTTTGCAACACATTTTTCCACTTTATCATGACGTGTAGGCACGTATTAATTGATACAAAGTTAAAAACGCGAAGTTTTTACAATTTAACCGATATTTTAACCGAAAAACCAAAAGTTACAAATTGAGTAAAAAAATATAAAGTTTTGGAAAATACGAATCGTGAAACGAGCGTAGAAAATTTAGATGTTTCCATGTGTGCGATCGATGTGCGACTGACTAGGGAAACTGAAAACTCCATACACCATATGACATTGTAACTCCTTGGCCAACTTGATCTCGAATTCAAAAATAAAGTTTTCGTTTGAATAAACTAAGGTGCGAAATTAACAATATCTTTTTTCTGTTTTCTTTAAAGTATATTATTTTGGACAGAAAGCCATACATTTTTTAATAATTTTTATTTGCCTCAATTTATTTATTTTTCTGTTTAGCAAATAGCAAAGCTTTTAGGTTAATTTACTTGATACCTTAAATTTAAAATGCCCATGCTCATTTGACGGAATCCTTTTGTTCCTCGATTTTTGTTTTATCCCTGCCCCTTGGCTTATTTCCCCAACCATTTCAACCATTGCTTCAGTGCTTCATTTAAATTATGAACTTTTCACAAATGCTTTCGGTTGAGCAACTAAGCTGGCTCAATGAACCCCCGGTGACCTCGTTTTTCCCGCTGGAGTGCCGTTGGCCAGGTAAGAAGCTTTTTAGCCGAGGCATAAAGATGAAATGGAAATCTGTCGAGCTCTTAGCACTTGGAGAGTGTCGAGAGTGCAGCTGTGGGTGTGTGTGTGGCACAGATGGATGCCATCGTATGGAGAAATGTGTGAGTTTTCTTTATACATTTTTGGGACTCACCTTGCACAATGCAACGCCTGTGTCCAGTCGATCCATGAAGTTCTCGGCATTGATGCTCAGTTCCGGATAGAGAGTGCTGAGCCACTCGGCCAGATCCTCCTTCATGGCCTCCAGATACTCCTCGCTGGATTTGAATGGCCTATACGGCCTTGCCTCCAACATGGCCATCGTCGCGTTTTTGTGAATCCTCTTAAAATTCTATTCACAGCTCCTTTGCCGTAGCTTTCAATTTCAATTTCGATTTTATTTTTTTTTTTTTTAATTATTTTATTATATTTTGTATTTGCTTTGTGTGGGATTTGCGGACGACCCTAGCAAAGATTGGTCTTCGGATTTTCGTTACGCTTTTGGCTGCAGTGCATCGCGCCTGGTTCGGATTAGCGTTTCGGTTCGGTTCGAATTTAAGCTGCAATGTAAAAAGGGAACATAAATTAAAATTGTACAAGTATTTAAGCGATTTTTGTTGTGAAAAAGCAAGAATTTCGCTAACTACTTAGCTGAAACTTGCTGGCCTGTTGATTGATGATATGCAATCAGATTGCCAGCAAGTGGATAATAAATTGTAAAAATTGTTGCACCAAAGCGGCGTAAATTTATGATTGTGCCACTGCAGCTGACATAATTATGGGACTGAAAACCACAACGGCAACAACCGACGTTGCCGCCACCGCCGGGGGCAGCAGAAACTGCAAAAGTTATACAAATAAAATCAATAAATAAAACATAAAAGTGAGTCGCGCGCGGCACACAATCGTCGGTTACTTGAAAAAGCCTCAGACAAGCCCAGCAGCACGGCAACCTCTACAAAGCACAGTGGGTATTGGGCGCCAGGTTAATGGCATCACACCCAAGTCAAAGTCCCCAACCAACCAACCAACCAACCAACCAACCAACAAACCCCCCCCTCCATTAGCTCATTAACAGGTCGGTTTGGAGCGACTAATTAGCGGTAAGCCCAATTGAACTGTGAACTTCGGCCAGAAGGAGATTAATGTCGAGGAGGATCGCCTGTTCGAGAAACGAACTGGCAATTGCCATCCAAGGCCAGTCATAAAACTTATGGCTTATCAAAAGCGTTTATCGAATTATCTTTGCATAAGGATGCCGCAACAGGATTTGACCTTGGGCCATCAGAACAGGTTGGTGTTTCTGTTTTGGCCCCCGCCCCTCATTAATCCGCTCGAAACGCTCTCAGGCCAAAAGGAAAACATGTATTAAAGTTAATAATAAATACGATGAACCCTCTTGAATAGTAAATATGTATGCCCAATGGGTCTCTTACAATTTATTAATCATGATGCTACATTTTGAATAGGACCTATTTTTACTACTATTGTTTGCTAATACAAAATCTTCCGATTTCATTCAAAAACTTCTAATGCGAAAGCAGAATCAACTCCACACCTTTGCCGCACCTGCCTTTACAATAATTGGGCCAAGGTGCTGGGCCAGGTCGAAATCTTGTAGGAGCGATCGGTAATAATAAAAAAGCCAATGGGTGAAAGAGTGGGAACAAAGCTTTATTTAAAATCGATACCCATTGGCATTCCGCTGTTCGGCATTCGGCATTCGCCATTCGGCGTGTGTTTTAAATGTTTTGTGTATTTAATTCGCCTGGCTATTGGATCCGTTGGTCCCCGGAGCTGTATTAAGTGCTTACGTAACCGCCTCATTCCCGATGAGGCTGGTCTTAATTAAGGCGCACCGATTTGGCCACTTACGTCTGTTTTTTTTTTGCTTTCTTCAAAATGATCAGGCGGATTCGGAATCGGATTGCGATTGGGATTCGAGCTCGGATTCGGACAAGTACAAAAACCCATGTGTGTTGGCTAATTTGCTGGCCATTGATGGACCAAAATAGTAACCCTCGGGCCTGCCCAACGGCGGGGGGTTTATGCATTTGGCCATTTGGCCATTTGACCAAATCCGCATCTCATCCCCGGATTTCACTTTCGCACTTGCGAAAATCTTTGCCTAGATCGATCAATCTATTCACATGCCACGCCCCCCTGCTGTTGACCTAAGCCAGAAAATGACTGAAAATTAAAAAAAAAAAAAAAAATAAATAACGCAATAAGTCGCAAAACTTTCGAGACAAACAAATATGCAAATGCTCGGTGGCCTTTTGTTCGAATGATTAGCGGTATTTTTGAAAGTGAATTTAATTAAAAAATCCGCATCCAAACACAGCGAAATGTATAAACAACAGACACATTTTGCATAGGATGCGTCGTCGGCATCAATTCGCATATAAGGCCTGTCCCATTCCAATCCAATCCAATGCGATCCAATCTCCTCCCATCGCCAAGTCCGGTAATTGAATGTGTCCGTACCGTTTTTGTTTTTCTTTTGTTTTTATTTTGTATTTTTGTATTTTGGCCACCGCCGATTTCCACATTCGAAATTGTCATCACAACTCCCCCACATTTCCCGCTGTGTACCATATTGCCTTTCAATAGAAACATGTCCCTTATCTAATCAAAGTTCCCAGACCTTTTGGCTGTAGAGTTGATGAGTTCTCATATAAATTCATTATCAGATAATGCAGTAAGTGTTCAATATGACCTTGTCTATCGTAGGAAAACAGTTTCTATTTTTAAGGTACTTGCTTATATATACATATTCAGTAGCCATACAAGTGATATAACTATAAACTTGTTATCTTTTGAGATGTTATGGTTCAATTGTAAATTGTATATGCTTTAAATCGGATGACTCGATTTTATAAATTAAAGAATTAGATTTAATTGTAACTTTCTCGAGCTCTTCTTCAAAGTATTTTGTGTTGCAATTTGATAAGACTGATTGCTCTTATTAAATAATCTATTACACAATTGCTATTCCTATTTCTGTCCCATTTCCTTATCTCGCAGAAGTTTCTTTAGTTCTTTAAACTGCATGTAACAAACGAACTAATGAGATACCACAACTCTTCAATATTTCGAGTATTTTTTCAACACTTTTCCCCAACTTTTGACAATGGTAAAGTGTGAATTGCCGAACGGCAGTAAAAGTGATCGAGAGTGTGAAGCGATATCAGCAACAACAACGTATTGCTTTGGCTATAACAACAGTGAGTATGGAAAATATGTTATAAAAGTAATGAATTCAATCTTTTTGTTGTTGCTGCTGCTGTTGCTGTTGACTTTTTCAATTAACAATTACAAACGTCGCAAAAGAGATAGAGTTTGTATTTGTAGTTGGGTCATGCGATAGAGTTTCACAATGCTGAAATTGGGTGGGGGGGGTGTTGGTATATCGATATACGATGGACCAATAGAAAAGTAATGCGAGACACATGGGGATTTCAAGTGCAAACGAAACAAGATATCAAGTATCTATTGCATATCCAAGAGATACTCGACGCTTTTTGGTTGTTTCTATTCAGTGTATAGGCCTGATTAAAGCACTAGAAAAATGAGTGCTTAATAAACTATTATACTAATTGTCACTTTAGTCCAATACTTTTGATTTATGGTCTTATAGTTCCCAACAGCATTTATCGCTGAGAAAGTAATTAATAGAAACTGATGATAACAGTTGGCTTTCTTATGAAACAGTAAAACAATGATAGAAAAGAAAAACAATTTCGTTTTAAGAACAAGAAATATTTCACATATTTTACAATAACTAAAAGTTAAGGGGTAGTGGAAATCTTTCTTTTATAAACTTGAGATCCAAATGGAAATCTGATTAAGAAATCCAAAGCGTTTTTCCAGTGTATGCCCAAGAGACTTCTCCATCACAGCTCATTCCCCATATTTTCCTTTTATGCCACCCAAACGTTCAATGACACTTGAAGCGACAATCGAAACGATTTCGTTTCAAGCAACAACATTCAATGGGAGTGCAGTTCACACTCCCACTCCGCATCGCCACCCCTTTACCAAGCCAGCCATCCACATCCAGCTCCATTTCCATCTCCATCTCCATCTCCGAACTCTCTCGAAACCATCTGAACTTGATGCACTCGCATCTGTCAGAAATTTCAGTGTCGAATGTGGAGCATGTGGACCATGGACCATGATTTTGACAGTGCCCATGTATGTGAAATGGATTGGATGCAGTGTGTCTTCGTTGAGTGCTCCCCATTCAACAGCAACATTTCAAATCTCGTTCAAGTGCAAAAGTTATTTTCACAAGTTATTATCTATCCATTTTCAGCCATTGAGCCAACAATGGTAACACAGCACTCGAATGGAGTTGCCTCTCCCAAAGTTTCCCCCTTTTTCGCCCTCTTTTGCATATGCTCTTATCGTATATGTACGTATACCCATATGAATGTTTGGCTCCTTTTGCGACCGACCGTTCCCTTTTGGCTCCTTTGTCTGCTGATGCATTGTCATCCTCCACCCGTCGCATACCAACCTATATTCCATCATGAGCCATCAGACATCGTTGCCATAAATGTCGGCACTATCCCTATTTCTCCATCATTTTCCGCATTTTCCCCGCTCATTTGGCTAAATGCACTTGGCGGAGTTTCCTTTTTGACGCTTTGTCTCCGGTTCGTTTCGTCATTTACGGCTAAATCAATAGACGGTAGACAAAAGGAGAACCGGCGCCGCCATTTTATAGTTAAGAATCAAAAAATATAGTACGGCAAAAAGTTCTACCATAGATTAGGTTGAATGTACTTACAGTGGTTTTCATTTTAAACCATGAAACGATGTTTATTGCATGCAAATATTATAATAAAATCTACACAACTCTATCTCAGGCATCCCTGAATTAATTTTATCATAATTAATAGCTATAAATTAAAAAACTAAGCTACAAGGTGATTTACGGCAGTCTTTCTGTATTTCACATTTATAAAACATTGTACCATAAAAAAATTGCATATTTTATAGAAATCGAACATGTTATTAATTTGGTGATTTTGACACATGTTAAAATTAATTTATATTTTAAACATTATTTATGTTTATGTTATAATGAAATTCGTAAATGGTTTTCTGAATTTATACATTTACGATTGTTGTCAATATTGGTGTTGCTCTCTAAACAAACAAGCCATTGCAAAATGCAATCCATATTAATTGAGCTATGTTTATAATACCATAAATTAATAATGGCTTCACGTTAAGCGCCATTTATTTGATTTAAATGGCACTTGGTTGCTATTTATTCAATATTATTTTATTCTTGCAATATATCTGCAAGCTTTTAACATTTCTTATGGTTTCTATTTCCTGCATTCCAGAACCACTGTGTTATTTTTGTGTTTATATAGATATGTATATATATAAGTCAGTTGATGTTGTGGACTGACGGTGATGTCGCCTGACAATATTATCGGAGTGCGGAGTGGGTGGCGTGTGTGGGAGGACGACGACCTTGGAGTAACTGAGCAACGCGAGGGGGACTACGAGAGTGGGAGGGGGTACAATGAGCGAGTAAGGA